TTGCACTTATTTATATGTGGTAGCAGCAGGATTATGCCCGGATTCAATAGAGTTTTACAGTGATCATCGGAATAGCATCTTTTATCCAGACCTCTTTAAAATACATCACACATATGATAACATTTTTGCAGTGTGCTTACAGCAATGTAAAACCTTGGATTTTCCTGGCCCCCTCATCTTTTCCTTTGTCAAAGACCTGTTTTCTCATACATATTACCCTATGGACTATAACCCCTGATTGCTATCATTCTGTTTTTTAAATGGAGTTGTGATGGTAAGAACAGTGCCTGTTTAAAGTGGCTAATATACTGTGTGTATACATTTTCTGTATGAGGTAATGTGAGAGATTCCAGTGCCCTGCACAGTAACTAAATAACCATAAATCATTTTTCATGCATATGCAAAATTGTCCCTCTAAGCACCTTATTAATTATTTCAAAGATACTTAGAGGTCGCCACTCATAGACATTTCTATGCATGAAGCCTCATTAATACAAGACACCATACAGAGAGATGGGATACATTTTTTGTTGCCATTAAACAAGGGCAGAGAGAGTATAATTTGTAATTTTTTATTTTATTTTAATGACCAGTATAATACAACCACCTTTCATCTGCAAATTCTTTGTCTCCGCTGATACAAGGGCTGCTACATTATTCTGAGCAGCTAACCCTATCAACATACTGGAGTTCTAGTAAAGACAGCATTAGTCTTGGATGTTGCCTATTTTCAACTGGCATGGTGCTGAATGATGCTAGATAGTCGCTAGGCATTACAGAATTAATTTCATTCTTCTAAAAATCACAACGATACATTTAGTACAAGAACTGAGTGACGCTATGTCATTTTCAAAGTGATATAGCATAGATCATAAGCTGACATAACTTGCCTTCTAACACTATATTGTCTTCTGGTTAAGTCAGTCATGCAACAGAAATCTGATAAACAGCAGTATGACCAGGCAAAGTACACGTGTAATAATAATCCACCTTTCAGAGTACAACAGCAAGTGATTAAACTTATCTGAGAAGTGTTGTTCATCGAAAATCCATGCCATAGATCTTTCCCTACTCAAATTATTATGCGAATATGGTAACACTGATCTTGTCAGTCACAGTGATCCTTTGCTGTAATTGCTGCTGCTTATTTTTATTTTATTGTGTGTGGTATTTTGACCTCTAGGTTGATTCAATAAAAGATATTAAAAATCTGTTATATCTGTATATTCCCTCAATAAAAATCAGAACAGTGAGTCAAATGTTAATGGAAACTTCAGGCAATGTTCATTATGTTATCTATATTTTTCAAAAACACTGCAAAGAGAACTAATTTGCACATGCAAACAACCTAAATAAGCTTAATTACAAGATTAAGCCCAACTTTACAGTTCTAGGAATGCATTAGACAAATGAAGTGAATTTTAAGTAATTCCATTTTTATTTGAAAGTGGACAACTGAAATAATACTTGGAGAAGAGCGAAGCTGTGACATTAATGTTTCCCATATACAGTACCATAAATACATCTAGAGCGTGAATTCGTTACTTTTTAAATGTGTGTGCAATGACACAGTATAAGGATTTGAACTTTATAAAGAAGTATTTGCTTGTGTGCACTTAATAGTTGTTTACCTTATCACAATATTGGTCTCATTACACTAAAAGTGGGTTAGTTCCATATTCCTGTTAGAGATCAGCCCAAACCAAACCTCAGATCTCAACACTCCAAACTTTGATGAATTTCAGATCTAGCTTTTTTTTGTGTTGGGTTAATTCCTGGTAGTGAGAAATTGCGGTGGACAAATATTGTCACAGTAAGATAAATAATAATCTATTCGTGTGCACAATGGCACCAGTTTTACTTGAGAGGAAATAATTTCTGGGTCTTCTTAGGTGCAAGCTAGAAAAAGTTGAGTCAAACATATCTATATTTTCCTAAGGATTAAATAGGAAATTTATACAAAAATGTATTGTTTAATAAGCATTGCCGTGATGTTTGGAAATCAGCATCAAAGGTTATTGTCCTGTATTTTTCTACTTGAATTTACAGTTGGTGAAAGGCACTGGACTGACAGCTCTGGTGGCTGAAGTCTGCATTGCTGAAAGAAGCAGAACAGCTAACAGCAGCTCATGTTTTCCAACATTGCCCCACAGTTTCGGCACTCTGTTCTGATGGACTATCTAGAAGAGGAAGGAGGTAATCAGTCACCAAGGGCCAGATTTTAAAAGGTATTTAAGCTCCCAAAAATGGGAGCTAGGTGCCTAAGTGCATCTGAAAATCACACTATCTGTATCTTTAGGTGCCTAAATACCTTTTAAAATTTGCCCCCAAAGGCCAATGCATGGACACTCTGATGAGATTGCTGATAACTGTCAGCTTAATATCAGTTTTGATGACATGTCAACATCATCTATCCACCAGAAACTGAACTGAGATCACTGACTTATTTCACATAGGACAAAAATCAGTGACCTTTCAATCACTACCAACCTGGGGCTCAGATTGGGTTTATGATTTGGAGATGAAGAGGCTCTAAATTCCATTCATACAGGCTGACTAGGGAGTTTTCCTGGGCAAGTAGGACAAATACCACCAGCTTCTACAGAATCCCAAGTTTCATTGAAAAAAACCATATATTCCTAGACCTTTTTGCAGGGTTCTCAACTCCCATGATTGTATCATGAGTCCCAAGATATTTGTTGTTATTCTTGAATCATCATGCAATTATATGACAATCTCAGTTTCCAGGATTGTTTGTTTGTTTTTAAAGTAGGTTGTAGTATGTAGGAATAGGACAATATACCTTTAAATAGTTTATGAGCACTCTAGTGGTGCTCACTGTGTTTTATGTAATAGAAGCCACCAGAGCCAGCCAGGGAAGCAGTGTATATGTAACAAGGCCTTCCATGTTTGTACATGTTTATTAAACACAGGTATTTAGGGTCCAGTTGTGCCTATGTGGTTGCTTTCTATTATTTTTGTTGGGTCAAGAGCAAAAGATGCAACACTAGCCTTCATGGTTACAGAGAAAAGCTTGAAAATGTGACCTCGGTACATCCTTTAGTCTCAAAAACCAACGAGGGAAGAAAAAAAAGAAGAATGCATTATTATTATTATTATTTTAATCTCATGATTTTTGGATTCTGACTCATGATTTTTGAGCCCTTAAGGTTGGTAATACTGTTGGGAAGAGTATCTGTATAACAGTAAAAAGAGTGTAACCAATACTGTCGTTGAGGACCGGTGAGAGCCCAGCAGCAACTGTTATACTATCAGGCCTATAGGGGAGCTATATGCATGCTGCCTCAGTTGGGCAGCAGAGCTGTCACTGCTCCCACTGAATCTTTCAGGCTCCCACTACTTTAGACAAAGCCTGTTCCCGCCCTCACCCCTCAGCCAGGTGAGGCAAGGCCCTGAGCACTTGTACTCTGCCTCTGTGCATCTTCCTCCATGCCTTCCCTCAGATCTCTCCTACCACTCAGCTCTAGCAGTACCCACCCCACGCCTAGAAAAGGGAGCAGACGATACCTAGCCCCTTATCTCCAGGGGACAAAAATCACAGAAGATTTACTGGTGTCCTCTCAAAGCAAGGGAATAAATAGAGCAGAACCCCTGAACTGAGAAAGTGGTACTGCAAGATGCGTTGGAAGTGCCTAGCACATTGTGGGTATAACAGCAATCAAATACATACAATGATGCAGCTAGGAGCAGAGGTGTAGAGCCATCAGGTGATAACATCAGGGCTGAATCTGGGGAAGTGCTACAGGAGTAAGAAGTCTGATTGAGGGAGAGGGCTGAGCTGGCTGCTACAGTTTTGAAGAGCTGCTACTGAGTTCATTGATTAATTTGGGGAGCAAATGGAAGAACTGGGAAGGAACTGATGTACTGAGAGAGGAAGTGGAAAAAGGAATTGATTAATTTGTATGTGGGGCAGGGAACTGATTAATTTGTGATGGAAGGAGGCAGGGGGACAGAGTAGCATTGAATAGCCAGACATCATCATGGGAAAAAACAAGGAAGGAACACCAGGAGGAGAACAAATCATCTTAACCAAACTGCACTAGATCTGTTATTTATTTGGGGGTGAAGAAATGGAAGCCTTTTATGCAATATAATACCATTGCACAAAGCAATAGCAGATGAGGTTACCGTGTATAAAACGAGACTTGGCTAAAAAACATAAGCAGCATATGCACTGTCATGAAATGTGAACTTGTGGCCATTGCTAAGATGCTGTTGAAATAATTAAAATCAGCTGCAAATATAGACAATCTGAATTGTTTTTAATACTTGTAGATTTAGTATCTTTCAGGCGCGCCCTGATGTAGCATGTGTCACTCTCATAAGAAATGTCTGCAATTATTCTTCCATCTGTTGATATGAAACTGATTAGCTATTCGCTCTAACAGCCAATGCAAATCCATTTTACTTGCAGCTTGTAAAGTGAAGGGAAGGTATTTTATAAAATAAATTCTAGTGAAGACCTACACAGCAACTTTGTAAGAGCCTTACTCTCTATGTGACAATGTGATAGATTCAACTTTTTGTCTCTGATCTGTCAAAACAGATCTTTGTGATTCAACATAAATCTTCTTATTCTACATAAGCCAAACTTCACTTCCTAGTCAGGTACAGTAGATAACATAACACATTCCTTGGGTCATCTGTATTTCATTCTACATCGTGGCAATTAGTAGAGATAACTTCATCAACCAGAAAGCTATTTGAAATTCTGATTACAGTACTTTTCTTATTAGCACTTGAAGATAGGTCAACAAAGTTAACAACTTATTTGATTCAAAAGAAGTGATGTAGAGGTCATCAAGGATTTTTTTTTATTTTTATTTTTTGGCTGCAGCTTATTGTGATCATCCTTCAGCTTTAGGAGGATGACATACTAATGTGAAAAATGCATGCATTTGCTCATAAAAGAAATGCCCTTTAGAATCAAGTTAATACTCCAGAGCCAGTTCACCTGCAAAGCAAGAAGGGCCATTTCAATAACAAAAATATTTTCCATCAGATGAAACAACTACTAATACACATTATAATTCCATAGACATATTTTTAAAATAACACGCACAAAACCCCACAACTTGATTTGAAATCAACAGTATTTTTCTGCAGATTAGGGCAAGAATAGTTTAAAAAAACAAAAACTTACCAACACATGGGAGAGAGTAGCCAAGCACAGGGTCATGGATGAACTTGCGATCATTCAGCATAGTCACACAGTATAAATGGAAGCAGTCTAGGCAAATGACATGGCGATGCAAGCACTGGAACACCAGCACAGGACTTCTGTTAAAAATACCCAAAACAAGGCAATGCTACGTTATTGTATCCAGTATTGTCTAGACCGACTATCCCAAAATATTTCAATTAAAAATTCAGTTACAGAATTATTAATATCTGGTTATATAGGATCATATGCCAGCATGGCATTTTGAAGACATTTAAAGAAGATAAAAATGAGTCAGAGGCAAGGGAGATGAGATAGACTTTCACTGGAAATTTGAAGGAAGGTGAAGAATCAAATAGGCAAAGAAAAATAAAGATGGGTGCTCAAATGGGCAGACACTCCAGAAGACTCTCTCATAAAACAGGGTAAGATCGTGTATAGGAGAGCCAAGAGGCTAGTGTAGAAAAGTGGAGGGAGAGGAGATGGGATTATAGAGGTATGATCTGAGAGGTAGGCTAAAGAAAGTATCTGAAAGAGTTCATAGCCTGCCCTCACACCCCGAAAAGGAGGGCTGGTCTTGTAGTAGTATTACTGGCCACCGCCACGTGACAGCAAGGGCACTGCACTAGTAACAATGACTAGAAGAATTCTGCATGCGGAGTTCAGAGGCAGGCAGAATACTTATGGAGGTGCAGAAGGAGAGCACTCAGGACAATTTAGAAGCAACAGCTTCTCCCAGTGGTGGGGCCAGCCTCAGAAACTGCACAAGCAGCAAACATAGCTGCTGCACCATCAGGACAGGGAACACTGTGGTGCAATCAGAACCATTCTCAGTGCCCCTTCCGGACTCAAACATTGGAGTGTGGATCAGCACTCCAGGAGTTAACTTCTTGAATATGCTTTTGAAAAATTACAATATAATTTTGTTTTATTGCCCAGACACTTCTGGGATGGGCACCCCAAAATGTATATAACAGCAGAAACAATAAATGATATATTATGACTTCCATACAGGCGATAGCCAGAATATCTTACAATTAACATTTTCTACAGCATGATATAAATTAAAGAAAACCACTATCCATATATATATAACCACAGAAATCACTAGCAATAATTTTCTGAATGGCAGGAACAAAGTTCTGAGACTACTAGCATAAATTAACTAAAGACGCCTTTTGCTGGATCTACCTTCATTGTCAATTCTGAAGTAACAACTGTGACAGATATTGCAACCCTATGCATTGACTTTGGAGACAACTGTATTACAATTATGAATGATTTATGTATGATTGTATTCCATTCCATGGAAGCAACTCTACGAATGAAACAACAGGAGTGGGTGATTATAAGGCAAGTCACTGAGACTAAACAACTCCAGAGAAGTTCTCCTGCATGGGGAAGTTTGCATATACTGGTGAGGATGGGTTTTCCAGAGACTAGGAAACAAATAAAGGGTTTGATATAAAAGGATGAGCTTGAACTCACTCATGGCCTTCTTTCTGATCCAGCAAATGGACAGGACCTTCTTGTCCATTAGGGCCTCAAACATTAGGGAAGGGTTGGAAAGACATTGGCCTACTAGGGCCACTGAAGGCTGACAGGTGACCTCTGGTAAGATTTTAACATGTTTTTTCTTGGGTTCTTCTGCAATGCTAGTCCCAAAATAAAAATGTGCTTGCTTAGAAAGAGCAGTAACGGCTGTTACTGTTCTTAGCCCTTGGAAAACACTGTTCTTAGCCCTTGGAAAGAAAGCAACACACAGGCACTGGAGGTTGGCAGACTGTCTTGCTGGGAATATCACAGTGTAAGGGAGGGAGCTGTGCAGCCTTAACCCCTCCCCAACGCCCTCAGTCAGAAGGAAGTAGGACAAGGGTCCCTGCCCAGAGACAAGTAATGGCTGGAGATCTGAGACCTGACTAGGCACTTCTGGGGTCGACCACAGAGGGGGGAATACAGGTGCAGTTACCTTGAAACTGTGTTAGCAACGATGTCCTTTGATAAAGTTATTCCCTACATATGGGTTGTGTACTACCTCTTGCCTGTCTTTGGCCCCATAGCATTATTGCCCACCACAAGCATTACAAAATCAAGAGTAAGGCCCTCCAAATCATGAGATTACCATGCAAATCATGAAAAAAATTGTTCTTTTTATTTGCCTTCTGGGTTTGTTTGTTTGGGGGGGGGTTGGAGGGGGGCTGGTGGTTTGCTGTATTTTTTAAAGCTTTTTTGGTGTACTTGGGACACATTTTCAAGCTTTCCTCTTCAACTATAAAGAAACTTACTTTTAAAAAAATAAAAGGTAAGATTTTCACTTATTCCCCTGTCCCCAGGAGCTGGGGCTCAAAAAGAAACCCCATCAAATATTGTGACACTTGTGATAAAAATTGCAAGAGTTGGCAACACCTCCATAGCATCTATAATACCTGCCACAAGATAGTCCGAAAGCCCCCCGTCTAACATTGAAATAATAAATTGCCATGTCCTCAAAGTGGGTATACAACTTCAAAATGTAATCAATAATAATTTCAAATGCTGTATATAAACATTTAATCTTTTTTGAAAATAAGCTTCAGAGTCACATACACTGTAGAATTCATGGTAGTGTATTGGTAGCTTTAAAAATATAAGCTCTGTGTTTTAAAGGATTTCATTCAGTAAAGCAGCTTAAAAACTGAATTAAATAAAACCTCTCCTATACTAATCCTTATTAGTTGCCCACTTGCTGTTCTGAATATAATAAATAATAATTATACAAAGACAGCTGCCAGCCAGAATGAGGAGCTGATCTGTGCTCCTCTAATTCTGCCTAGTCCCAAGATAAATAGGGAGAGCTAGAGGAGCACCTATCAGGTCCTTATTCAGTCACAGGGACACCTTTACCTCCCTGCCAAATTTGCATATCTCAGAGACTCTCTCTCCTGGGAAGGAGGATGAGGCAAGATTCCCACCCCTGGAACCTTCCCATCCTGGGCCATTGGGGATCTTTCCCTTTTAGGGTGTTTGTTGTTGGTGGCCAATACTGTAGTATCTGAGTGTTTTCCAAGTTAGGTGGAAGATCTCTGGACCTGCAGCTCACTTTCTCTGGCTTCAAAGGGAAGACGGATGGTATGTGTGAGAGATCTACATGGGGAATCCAGCAAATTTAGAGAGAAGCATCTAAAAATCAGACCACAAATGTAAACAGTGGAAAAGGTATCCTGTATATGATCTCAAAAGGCAATACAACACTTGTGCAATTCTTACTTTTTCTACAAAACGTGAACAAAATTGCAACTAACAGAACTATTATTAAGCAATATTATTAAGTATTATGTAAGTGAACTAGTCAGTTACTTGTGTAAATTACCTATGGTGCCATAAATCTCATTCCCTTCTATAGCGCTGTTCATAACTGACTTTAAATCAAACAGTTCTCCAGAAAGAAAACACACACACAAACATATGTACACCTACATTTAAATTTGAGTTTATAAAAACATTTTTCTTGTGAAAATGTGATTTTTTTCACGGAATCAGAAATACAGCAAACTTTTAAAACTACATACATATAACTCTGGGTTCTGATGACATCACAAATCACTAAAACATCATTTTCATGGATACTGTTAAGTCAATTGAGATATATGCTTGCAGTCTAAAATACCTATGTCATAATGCCTAAATAAACACAATAAATATATATATTGACTGGTGCCAGTTTCAGCTGGCATTCGCACTTCCATTAGAACCAAGAATTCACAGAGTCTGTATCAGAACTGAGTGCTTCTTGGGAGTGAGCAGTGGTTAAAAACAGAATTGGAAGTCTTGCTCCTTAGATCAATTAAAAATAAACATGTTGTTGAGATGACATGCCTAGATTCTGGGGTAAGTGGTGAATATACTGAATGCTCCTTTAGAATAACCCCTAGAACTGCATTTGTGACTGATTAAATGAGGCTTCACCCTGAGGTAGAATGCTGACTTAGCTTAAGAAGCAGGAGAAAGTAGAACATATTGTAATGAGGCTTCTTGGCCTTAAACCTATTTCCTAAATTATTGATACCTCCTAACTTTATCCTCTAGATCTGTAGAAGGGGGAAAAGGAACTCTGTTAGGGTATTAATGAAAATAAATCCTTTATTATCCCGTTTTCAAATGTTTCGTTGTCCACACCCAAATTGGAGATTTCACCAGAAACATACGTAGTTCACTTAGTTTTTGTTCATTTATTCCCCCCAAAAAAATTCCTTTGACATATAAAACCCAAAGTGAGTTCAGCGGGATGTGTGAAATACAAGTGTTTTCTAATATCAATAATGTAAATCTGAAATAATGTGCTTCTTAGAAGGTATTCAGTAGTCGGGCTGAGTTACAAATTCATGAAAACAACCTACACAAAAGATATTCCTAAAAGCCTGAGATAACAGGCCTGTCACCGGGGGTGCTCTCTTCCCACTCTAGTGCCTCCTAGTGGCTCATCCGGAGATTAACTCCCACATGCTCTAATGCCCCTTCCTGAGGTTGCTCAGCCCATCATCTTGCTCACTCACTCCATGGCTTCTCTCATACTCCCAAAGCTGTGTGCTTTCCTTTTCATGGCTTAACCCTCTGGCCGAGTCACATGTAAATTCCACCCCATTCCACACTATTATCAAAGTCTCCCTTCAGACTGTCTCTAACAGTCCCCAAATAGGCTGCCCCTTGTAGGGGAACCCGGGCCCAACTTCTACCCTGGGTTCCAATCCAGGACCCTCAACCCAGCACCTCAGATCTTCACTCGCACAGTCCTTACTGCTCTTTCCCTTGACTGCTTCCTATAGTACCTATTACAGATGCCGCCTCCTCCCGCCCCTTTCTATCAGGTATAGGGTTGCCAGGTGTCTGGTTTTCAACTGGAATGCCCAGTCAAAAAGGGACCCTGGCGGCTCCAGTCAGCGCTGCTGACTGGGTCATCACAAGTCCAGCTGGCGGTGCAGCGGGGTTAAGGCAGGCTCCCTGCCTGCCATGGCTCCACATGGCTCCTGGAAGCAGCAGCATGTCCCCCCTCGGGCTCCTATACATATGAGGTAGCCAAGGGGCTCCACACACTGTCCCCGCCCCAAGCACCAGCTCTGCGGCTCCCATTGGCCAGGAACTG